GATTTGTCATCGAGGTCGCCGTTGTGAACACGGCAAGCCGTCGGTCACGAACACCGGCGCAAGACAACAAAGAATTCTTTAGCTGTCTTGGGACACGCTAGCGAGTGTGAGCATGGAGTTTCCTACGAACGGCGACATCCGTGCTGAGGACGTGGAGCTCCCTGGTAGCGACCACGATGGCTCCGCTGGAACGCGATCCCGATCGGGACGATCAGTGAGCCCTGCGACCCGTGCACCGAGCATGGACCGTGCTGAAGACCACGGACGTGTGACGGTCACGGGGGAAGTCGTAAGCGCACAAATTAAAAGGAAGTTCAAGGGTGAACTTCAGGGTCGGATATTCTCGGCGTCACCAAGAGTAGCGCAAGATGGAGGAAGTAGGTATCTTCCAACGTGCAGGTTAAAGGGAGATTTAGAAGTAAGCTATCTAACATGAAGACATCCCCCTAGAGGGATGTCGAACGTCTCTAGGCTAAAAGTTCTAAGTTTCGAAGCCTAGTCATTGGGTATCGCCCCTTCGAGGACGAACAGGGATGACTTGACGGCCATCATCGTCATAAACCCCCCGTTCAAAGTTCGACTTCATTCGAACAACCGGGTAGACGATGATGTCTTGGTTGAAGGGTGCAGAATCCGAAGAGACAGAGAATGGACTTCATCGGCAATGGGCCAGATTCACCCCATTCAACCAATCGTAGATCAGGACATGCCAGCCTTTCCTTAGGCTTCAATTCTTGACTTGCCATTTCGTGAGAGCAGGTAACATGCGGCATTCTCGGACTAGTCTCGCTGCGATGGCGGCACATCCAACTGACTCATCGGCGACGGCGACACAACCAGCCCCTTCGAGTTCCTAATCCGTCACAGAGGAACCTTCGGCTTCAGAAGTCCGACAGGCTTCCACACCTCCGGACGAATCGGTTCCTGTCCGTGAACTACGGGAACGGGCTCCAGTTGCCTGTCAGACTCTGAATGCCTTCCTCCACTCCAACCTGACCAGTTGGAGTCGAGCTCGGGACGCAGCATTCAAAATTCAGTCCGTCGCGGACGATCTCGCCATCTTCGCGCAAGAACGGGCCTTGCCTGATGCGTCGGCCTTTCAGAGCGCAGTGGAATTGAGCAGCCTAGTGACCAACGCGGAAGCGTTCACTTCGCCTGATGTCTACGAGAAGTACAAGGACTTCGTGTTGCAGTTGATCGCACGAGATCCACGTCGACAGCGGCAGTTTCAAACGTCGTCGGATGTTTGCTCTCAACCAAGCCAACTTCGATAGCAGCAGTGACGAAGACCTGTCGGCCCCTCGCTCTCCTCCACCAGATTCCGAAGGCGAAGTCGAAGATAAGTCGACGCCGAAGCGCGGTCAGAAGTGCGAGGTCTAGGGTCTGGTGAAGCCAAGGTCGGTCGCTCCCAGTACTCCTCGGATCCCAATCGTGTTTGATGCCGAGGCCGTGAAGCGCCTGGACCAAGTGGAGATGTCTGACGCGGCGAAGCACGCGTATCTGAAGTTGCGGACTTCCAAGCCGTGGCAGCGTTGGGTCGAATCCTTTCAGTCCTTCCTGCCGGGTGTGACAGTGGCCCAGCGAGATTGGAACCAGCGATTGCGGCAATTCTGGGAACGACATGCCAAGGTTGTGTGGTCTCGATATTTCTGGATCGGGTATGGACATTACGGCGAGCCAGGACACGTGGTGAGACAGCTACGCCATCGACGAGATCCTTTAGACATCGTCTTTAGGCTGATCAATCCGCGAACCATCCCAAGTCGGACCTGAACCGTGCCAATAAGGCGTGGCTGCTCCTGGTAACGGACCTGTATCGCATGGAGGGGCACACCGTCTTTCAGTACCTATACGGTAATCCCCACCCTTTCTGGGCCAAGCTGATCCAGGAGCTTTGTTCTCTGAAGATGTTGGATGCGGCGCGCGGGCGGACATCGTGCTCGACTACTTGGCATTCAACGGGTCGAAGCGATGGCCCGACTTCGCGGCGTTTTCATAACTCAGGTCACGGACCAAGTTCAGCCAATATTCGTGTTCGCCCGACGTGGCCTTGAATCTCCATCGAAATTGGGCTTGGGACGTGTTAGTGTGGGCCCGCGACGCTCACCCCAAGGACTTTGCGTGGTGCGGGGAGTTGTTTAAGACAGCGGGATCACAAGGATGGGCCCATCAGACGGTCCCATTTCCATACGTCCGGCACGAAGGCCAAGGCATTTTCAATCCTCCGCGTTGGCTCCGGGAACAGTCCACGACGGAAAAGAACCAGACCGGGCTCTACGCAGTGTTGCCTGACCATCAGTGCGTCGAATCATTGTCGGATCACTCAGTCGTAGCTGGGTCGGACGTCTCCGGTCTACCAGAAGGCGGGTCGCCGACTTCAGCAATTACTTTATAGTTTCTCACGCAGTGTTGCCCGACCATCAGCGCGTCGAATCGTTGTCGGATCACTCAGTCGTAGTGGGGTCGGATGTGTCCGGGCTGCCCGAAGGCGGGTCGCCGTCTTCGGCCATTACTTTGTAAGCCTGCTAATAACTTGCTTGATTCTTACTTTCCACGTCATGTTCACCGATTGTTTGGTTGGGAAAGAGCAACGAGGCTGCTAATGAGTGGGGAGGCTAGTCGAGGAACTCTAAGTTTGGACAGCTCAAAGGTCGGGTGGCACAGGGGAGAGGATGGAAGCGATGTCTTGTCTTCCAGCGTCAGACGATGAGGTACTTTGCCGATTCGGCGTCCCCGAAAGGCTATTGACTGACCGTGGTTCAAACTTTGTATCCAAACTCGCCACCACCATGTATACCACGCTCAGAATCCACAAGCTGGCGAGTGCAGCCTACCACCCTCAGGGCCAGGGGCTCGTCGAGCGATTCAATCACACCATCGTCCTGATGCTCAAGATCTATGTGAATGATCTGCAGACAGATTGGGACACATATCTGTTAGCACAGCCACGGTCTGGTGGTCTGGGTGCTGGGTCAACATGCCACTGTTCACGGTCTCAAAGTATCTCAGCACATAGACACGTAGG